AGCCCAAGGACTGAACCCAAGGCTTCCTGCATGCCAGGTAAAGTACTCTACCACCAGGTTATATCCCCAGCCCTGGAAGGGCTTTTGGCGTGAAGGCAGCCTCCTAGGTAGGGTCAGGCGGAGACTGAGGACTAGTGGAAGCTTTTAGCAGGCCACACAAGCCCTTCAGGCTTGAGTTGCACAGTTTTATCCATTTCTGAGAAGGCACTGAGGGTTTGTGCCTGGGGAATTGTGCATCTGAAGCAAGCTCTTTCTGGAATACCTTTCCTCACCCCTCTCCCAAATTCCAGGTCATTTAAAAAAATATATTTTATTTATTTTTACGTGTAGGAGTATATTGCCTGCATGTATGTGAGTACACCCGTGTTGTGCAATGCCACAGAGGTTAGAAGAGGGCTTTGGATTCCCCTGGAACTGGGAGTTCCAGTTATGGATGTTCGGATGTTTGTTATGGATGGTTCGTAGCCGCCATGTGGGTGCTGGGAATTGAACCTGGGTCCTCTGCAAGAGCAGTCAATGCTCTTAACCACTGAGCCATCTCTCCAGCCTCCCAGCTCATTCTTTAAAAGCCAAAAGCTGCCTCTTGGTGCTAAATCAGTCTAAGCCCCCTCCTCAGGGACAGGTACTTTCTGCAGGTGCTATGAGCCCTCATCCAGTACTTTTGGTAGTTCACAAAGTTCACATGGTACTTAAACAGGAAGACTTCTAGAAGGTAGAGGGCTCAGAAATTTTTCAACAGCACAGGTGGTTGCTCCATTTCAAGGTCAGGAAATGCAGGCTGGAAGTTCCATGGCAGGGCCTAGGAAGTTGAAGAATAGAGCCTGGGGGTTGACAGCAGGGGGGAGGGCAGATGTTTGACTCTATGAAAGCTCTGGTAAATCTCACAAAGATGGGTGTGTAGATTACACTTGTGATCCCCAGTACTTGTGAAGCAGAGGCAGGAGAATCAGTTGAAGGTCAGCCTCAGCTACTCAGCAAAAATTTTAAACCAGCCTGAGTTACATCAGTCACAAAAAAGCAAACCAAACAAACAACACAAGTTAAGTGTTAAGTGAATCAAGAAGTGGGGCTCTGGGGATGCCCTGGTTAAGGGAAAGAAGATGCTGAGAACTACAGGAAGTGGGAGCTTCAGAGGCACCAGAAAGGCCCAAAGAAGTGATTTCAAAAGAAAGGATCAAAGATCAAAGCACTAAGATGAGACTGAGAAACAGGATGGATTTCTGGATGCTGTTAAGCCATTAGAAAGCAGGCCTGATGGCATCAGTTACTGGCCTGTGCTATGGCAGGATGTGGATATTTTTTAACCTACCTGTTTCCCCAAGGTTCCTATTATCTGCAACCGACCCTTCTCTATCCCCTAGCATAGCCCAGGAGGGCTGGGTACAGAATTCAGAGCCAAGTCCCTTAAGAGCAAGAAGCCTACATTCTTTTTTTTTTCTGTAACCCCCACACTGGAATTCATACATTCTGTCATTTGTGTTAAGACCTATCACATTAAGTTAGTGTCCCCAGGCATCTCTCAGTGCAAGTTCATCCACTGGAGTCTAGTCAACCTATCTAGAGTCCCTCCCTTTAAGAAGATCAGCTCTTTCTTAACCAGGAGTAATCAGCTGCCAATAATTCTTCAATCAAGATTGGGGCCTGTCCATTTCCACAGTTCTGTGCTGGGGTTTTGTCTGGGAAGCCTAAATTCTAATCCCATTCTGGCCCCATTCCCAACTTGCTATGTGAGCTTATGGCCAGTTAACTAGCTAGTCTAGTTAGAACATAAGAAGCCTTGCTGGGCATGGTGGCACATGCCTTTAATCCCAGCACTCAGGAGGCAGAGGCAGGCGGATCTCTGTGAGTTCAAGGCCAGCCTGGTCTACATAGTGAATTCCAGGACAGCTGGGGCTATAGGGAGACCCTGTCTCAAAAAGACCAAAAAAAAAAAAGAATATAAGAAGACCCAGAGTCCTAGAACTTGTACTGGAGGTCACAGAGTATTTTCCTGACATCTTTATAGGACAGGGATAAGGAACAATTTTATTGATAGAAAGTACATTTTGTTTGAAGTTATAAATACCTCCAATGGTTTAACTTTTTCCACTTTTCTCTTAAAGTTTAAAGTTCAATGTTACCTTTAAAAACTTATTTTACAGTTATCTGTGGTGTTGTAGTGTGTGTGTGTGTGTGTGTGTGTGTGTGTGTGCGCGCACGCGCGCGCACCGCACGCGCTCAGGGGCCACATGTACCACAACTTGGATATGAAGGTTAGAGGACAACAGGGATTGAACTGGATCTTCAGTGTTGGTGGTAAGTGCCTTCTTCACCTGCTGAGCCATCTCACTGGCCCCTTCAGGGATCCCTTGATTGGCTGAGCTGAGGAAGCAGATGCCCAAATCTAGCAGATTAACTAGAAAAGCTTCTGATGATTGGCTGAAGTAGGTTAACAGATACATGCAGGTTTTGTATACTATTTTCTCCTCTCTTTTAAAAAAATTTTTATTTTTTATGTGTATGAGTGTATTGCACCCATGTTGTACAATGCCCTCGGAGGACAGAAGAGGCCGTCGGTCAGATCCCCTGGAACTGAAGTTACCGACAGTTGTTAGCTGCCATGTGGGTGCTGAGATTCGAACCCAGGTCTTCTGCAAGAACAACCAGAGTTCTTAACCTCTGAGCCATCTCTCTAGCCCCTTTCTCTTTTATGTTAGCAAATGTTCCTAACTTTATTTATTTTATTTATTTATTTTTGTGAGGATCAAGGTTTCACTGTGTAGCCAGAGCTGGCCTGGAACTTACCATATAGACCAAGCTGGCCTCAAACTCTTGATCTTCCTGCTCAGCCTACAGGCATGTGCCACCACACCTTGCTTAAATATTCTTAATTTTAACAGCCATGAGCCACCATACCTAGCTTAACTGTTCTTAATTTTAAAATGTCTTTTAAAAATTTTAGAAGAAACATAAAAATGAGAAAATGGATCTTCATTTCCTAGGAGTTGAGAAAATAACCCTTCTGGCTGTGACTCTGAGCAGCCTCCATACCCCCCACCCCCAGCACTTCCTGCCTCAAGGCTCAAGAGCAGAAACACTGCACAGAGCTAGGGGGTGAAGCAAAGCTCCCCCCTTGGAGTTCCAGGGTCCTAGGCTGTTTTAAAACAGCCCACTTCCCAAATATGCATCCCACAGAGGGCGCAGAGCTCAGGGCTAAGAGCACCTTTCTCAGACCTCAGTGAGGCTGCTTTTTCTCTAGGCTCTTCCTGGAGGATAATTTCTGCCTTCCTGGATCCCAAAGGAACTGGGAACAATAAAGTAGCCAGGACCAGGCCCCTCCCTAGCTTGGAACTTTCTCTAGAGCTAGCCACCACCCCCCCAATACACACAGTCAAATGGCCTGCAGTCAAGATGCCAGGAGCTACCATGAAATACCCAAGGTGGTGGCTTCCTCCCCCTCCCTGCGGCAGTCCCCATCCCCCTCTCTGTACTTTCTCTTTCTCACCAGAGCTCTCTGGGGGCTGATGGCCCTCTCAGGTCTTTATCTGACTTCCCCAGTTCCTTTCCCTTCTGCAGCCCTCCCTCCAGAACAACAAACACAGATGTTTCTCAGGAGAGACACCAGATTCTCCAGGCTTGCCTCATGAACCTCCAGTGTAGCTTTTGGGGCCTGATGACCACTGACCACAGGAAATGTGCTCTGACACTCTTGGTCTCCTGTGGCACCATTTCAGGTCCACAGCTGCAACTCCTCCTCTCCTCTTGGCCAATAAACATTGGCATTTCTACACATATAATCTGGGACTTTGTCTCCCTCCTCTTGATTGGTAGGCGCTATAGACCTTGTCTTTGGAATCTGTAGCCCATACTGCCCTAAGCCCAGCCCTAGCCCCTTGGCATCCTACATTGAACCTTTGACTCCCTCTTCTTTCCCCTAGTCCTCCCATCAGAGGAAACAGCACAGCCATCATCTGTGTCCAGGCCAAAGCCCTGGGAGTATTCCTGCCTTGTTCTGTCAGTTCCCTGGCCCTTTCAGCAACGTGTCCTATGATTCCATCTCCAAAATACGACCCAAAGCTGTCCTATCTCCACAGCTGCCACTTGAGACATTCCTCTGCACCCACAGTTTTCCAGAACACACGGTGTAATTAGTTTTGGGCAGGATCCGCAAGGCCTTGGTGACTGGACTCTGCTGCCCTCCCCTGCCTCATTGGGCCCCATTTTCCCCCTTGCTTATTTCACTTTATACGTGCAGTCTGCCAAACAGTCCTTGATTTGCTCATGCTATTTCCTCTGTCCAGAACACTGTCCCCATCCCATTCATCTTGGAGCCAGCTCTTCAGTTCCTTCAGGCCCATCCAACCTTTGGACCTTGAGAAACATCAATGTTATCTTGTTATCTATAAAGTTCATGCATGAGAACCATAGAATTGAATTATAAGAAAAAAAATCGTAAAAAACACCCTCAATGTTTTAAGTAAATTTACTTTTTTTCTTTGAGATAGGGTCTCCCTGTGTGGCAGAGGAGGACCCTGAACTAATCCTCCTACCTGCTAAAAGGCTGGGATTACCTGTCGCTGTCCCACACCTGGTTTTAAATTTATACTTTTGTGTTAGACTGCATTCAGGGCTGCTCTCAGCTGGATATGTTGGACACCCCTGCTAGATCTTACTGGAAATGCCATCTCTTCAGAGAGACCTGTCTTGCCCACACACTGAGCAGGCCTCACAACTCAGCCCTTAATTTCTTTGTCCTTCTCACCCATTAGACAATGAACTTCACAAGGGCAGGAGCCCCATCTGCACAGAGCCTAGAACACAACTTGGTACACTGTAGGCACCCCAGAAACACTTGATGAAAGAGCAAATGAACCACGTATTGCCTAGTAGAAATTCCCTGGAAATTCTAAGAGTTAACCTGAGAGGGAAACTGAGTCTCAGCTGCAGCCTGACAACAGCCGCAGAGGGGCTGTTTGGTTTGCTGATTCTGTACCTAGGGTCCAAGCTAGAAGGCACCTCACCTCCCTTTTCCAGCGTGCCAGCCACTCATCCCGCTTGCGTTTGCTGATGTAGTAGGGATCCCCCGCCTGGAAGGTGAGCCTTGGCATGGGCCGCTGGCGGAGGCTGGACTCCCAACCCAAGCCACCACGGAGTCGGCCCCGGGAGCCCTAGGAAAGACAGACAGGCATTAAGATGGGCATAGACTCCCCTAGTGTTTGCCCCTCCTGGAGGGGAAACTGAGGGCACTACTCACCTCAAACAGAATACACAGATTCTAGCTCCTAGCCAGAGGGGCAGACCCAGAAATGCTGGGCAAGCTCCCTGTGAGCCAGAGAAGTGAGGAGGGATGTAGAGTTGGTAGGGATACATGGGCAAGGCAGTGAAAAGTATTTGATGTCTGGAAGAGGATGAGCTGCCTGGCTGGGGGACTTCCAACCTCCACCCTCACTTCCTCTTCTCACAAAGAGATACAAAAGAGGGGTGGGGGCAGGGACCCACCCTCTGGCCCCCCTCACACACATTCTTTCCCACAGTCCATCAGAGAGGTGGCTTCTAGAATCAAGATCCAGAGCCCCTGGGGTGAGGAAAACACTTGCCTCCATTTTCATGGATTCGATGTTGGTCTCCTTCTGTTCTTTACCTGTGGTAAGGGAAGAACAAAGGAACTGTCACTGGGGTCACTGAGGTAGCTCAGGGGCCATACCTGGAGCCTAGGGGCTCTGCAACCTGGGACAGGGTACTGTAAGCATTTGCTTGTTCATTTGCCATCTATGATGGCCTGCCAAATACCAGGCTGGCTCCAAGGGCTCAGAACAAGGCCTGGAGCACAGAGAAATGGTCCAAGCTCCAGGCCAAGTGCATAGGAACAAGGGCAAAGTCAGGGGTGTGGTTTCTAGCCAACTGATTGGGTCTCAGGGACATCAATGGGGCTTCACAGTATCCACCCTCTGCTGCTCCAGCCTACAGATCTCTAGGAAGGGTAAGGAGCAGGAAGGCAGAGGGACACAGCAGAGGCTGGACTGAAGAAGCCAGACTCTGTTCGCTCCTTTGTGTGGGATAGGAAAAGGTGCCCTCGGAGCATGAGGTGTGTGCTGGGACAGTGACATGGGTCAAACGGAATGAAACCCAGTAAAGCAGCAGCTTCATCTTTCATGAGTCTGTCTCCTCACCGAGAACATTTCTAAATAGAATGGCGCTATGATTAACATGAACAGTCCTCCATTCCTTCTCTCAGGTCATCCAGATGGGTCTGGATTCCAACAGTGTGTTGCTCTCATTTCCTCACAAACACAAGCTTGGTGTGAGCACAGAGCAGAACTTGGCACACAGTACATGCTCAATGCATGTCAGAGTGCTTCCCCTTCCCTAGAGATAACCTGTTCCCCTTCTGGCTTCAAGTTCCTAGGAGGGACATCTGGGCAGGGTGCAGCAGTCCCCCCACTGTGCAAGGAAGGACACTTGCTTTTGGCTGGGCTTCTCTAGAACCTCTCTAGACCAGAGAAGAGAGTAGACCCATCTTCCTTCACATCCCTGCCTCCTGCCCTGATCCTTTCCCGGGCACTCCTGCAGCTTGCTAAGGCTTTATCTGCCTTGTGGAGAGGTGTGTGCCTGCCTTTCACCTGGGTCCCTGAATTCTTTTGATCAAGGCTGAGAAAGTACGGAGCTTGGGCCCAGTGCAGAAAGGCCACTAAGGCTGGCTCATTTAGCGGTGTCTCTCATTCTGCCGGGGGGGCGGAGGGGAGCCCGCACGGGACACGACAGACACATGACACCACGACGACAACACGGACACGAACATAGAACCCTAAACGGAAAAAACAGCCTCTGCTGCATCTCCGGGGGTCAGGAACGGAAACCACCGCAGCATTTAAGCTGAATCCTTAGTCTGGATTGTTTGCTTTGCTCTCACCAGACACAACCTGATGCTTCTCTCTGCACCTGCCCAGGGTACACAAGACAGCCTCCATATCCCTCTGTCCTGGGGCGCGGAGGTGGGGCAGACCCTGGGCTGGGCAGAGTGGCGCTGGGCCGGCGTGTAGCAGCGGAGGCTCGTGGGCGGAGCAAGGTCACCGTGTGTGGGTGGGGTAGGTGCGGGCCTTCTAAGGCCTGTCTCAGCCGCTTCCAGTTTCCTCCATGTCTTCTCCCACTGCAGCCAGCTCCCCACTTTCCATCCGGCTCCCCCTCCCGCCTGCCTGGTCTCTCGGCCAGGGCCCCTCCCGGCTGCGACCCCGGTGCTGGCCCCACGGTGCCGGGAGGGGGCGCCTGGCCTCGATTCCTCGCGGTCGCTCAGCTCAGCTCCTGCAGGCGCTGCAGCTGGGCGGCTGGGGGCGGCGAGTGGGGACTCAGGGCTGGCTACATTCTCTCCCGTGTCCTTTGGACCTGGGAGTTAACTGGAATACCCTGTGGCTTTTGATTACATTTACCAGGCGTTATTTGTTCATTAGAATGCAAGAAAATCAGAGCTGAAAAGAGAGGGAATTCTTGTCCTGCCCCTACATTTTTCACTGAGGAACCTGAGGCCTAGTGAAGGGAGTAATTTACAAGAGGCGCTGTAATCAGATATCAGAGCTCCTGACTCGAGCCACAGCCATGTCCAATGCACCATTATTCCTCAAGTTCCCCTTTGCCAATCCTCCAACCCCCAAGATCTCCCAAACTGAATGACTTCCTAATGCAGTTTCCAATTGGCTTCCTTCTGGAATTTTCTCCTCTGCAGACTGCGCATGCCCACGTAAAGTGACCTCTCTCTCTCTCTCTCTCTCTCTCTCTCTCTCTCTCTCACTCACTCACACACACACACTCCACAAACTAGCTGCCTCCAAATGCGGCACTTGTTGCTATGAGGACAGAGTCAGCTGCTGAATGCTCCTCTCTAACCCATCTGCTCCTGACCCAGACCCAGATTCCCAGGGCCAGGTGGCTGTGGCCTTCCAGGGTGGCCCCCAAGGCACCTCAGGTCCTGGGAATAGGGAAGGTCTGGGGCTTCTAACACCTGTTGGCCTGAGGCTGTATCCAGTCAGGGGCAACCCCAATTTCTCTTTAAGATAAAGGTGATGCCAGGTTTAATAGGAGAGCACTCATTAGCCCATGTTTGTCTCCATGCTCAATCTGACCAGCGAGGTCTTATGCTGACCCTCATCTCCTTTATTTGTTTGTAATAGAGTTATACATAGCCCAGCCTGGCTTCAAACTCTTAAGCAGCTGCAAATGACTTCTGATCCTCCTGCTTCCACATATCAAGTTCTGAGATTACAGGCATGCACCACCACACTGGCTTCCTTTACTAGATGTATAATCTTGGCTAAGTAATTTAGTCTTTCTCAACCTTCATTCTCCTCATTGGAAAAACAGGGTCTTCACATGGGCTCAAGGCTGAAATGAGAGACTATGACTGTAATATGCACAGACCTCATGAGGATCTCTTTAAGGTAGAGCTTGAGATTCTGCATTTTAGCTTTCCAGGTGCTACTGGAGCACTGAGGGAAGAGCACACCAACACATAGTGCACAGTGGCTCTAGTTACCATGATCACCATATGATCTTAATGCCAGGAGCGGATGCAGGCACCATCCCAAGGCAACACCTTTTTTAAACTCCGTGTGTGTGTGTGTCCATCCATCTGTGTCTGTGCATGTGTCACAGTGCTCATGTGGAGGTCAGATGACAACTTGTGGGGAATGTGTTCTCTCCATCATGTGAGGCTCAGGGATCTAACCCAGGTGGTCCCTCAGGTTCAGCAGAGATGCCTCTACCCACTGAGCCATCTTGTTGACCCAGGTGCTGGCTCTTGACTTTATTGCTCATCTCAGCATCTGGTCAATTTCCAGTTGCTTCTCCTGGCCTTACTCTCAGGACCTCGGGTTCCTACACACACAGGAGGATGTCCATGACACCTGGATGCTGCCTTAAAACTCTCCATTGTGCTGTACAGAAGAGCACAGTGGGATTCCAAGAAAGATACATAGAACCCTCTGAAAAGAACCTTACAATGAGGGGAACCATGGTTAAATCTCTTCCTTGGGGACCTTAGTCTCTTTCCTCATCTGCAACTGACTGCTGAGGCATGGCCAGGCTCTGCACAACACCCAAGCCAGAGCTTCCAGGAGACCACTGGCCACTTCTCCAGGTTAATGCCCTGCCTACCTCAGCATCTAAGTCAATGGCACAGAGGCCTTCAGGGAGCCCACCAGTTCTGACCCCTGGCAACATCTCCATTTCCTAGAGAACTAGGAGCACCCAGAAGTGCCCCAAGGTCTTGGGAGTGTTTGTGCCCACCACACTCAGACCTGTGCCCAGGAATCACCCTTGACATCATTCCTTACCTCTTATTATCTCTGGCACCTCACTTCATCTCTGCTGGCTGCCCTTTGCTGATCAGGGCAGCCTGCTTCCCACACCTGCAGCAGTCCCCTAACCTCTCATCCCACTTCCCAGCCCTTTCCACCCAGTGGGGAATCCAGTGACTGAGTCATTTTTTCCAATCACAGCCTGTCACCTCTGAGAAGGCAGCTGGGAAAGCCTGGTCTGGTCACCTGCCACCCACTGCTGTCACATCCTTCCTCTTGGCCCTCTCCACTACGGTCTGGTGGATTCTATCAGGTCCCTAATGCCCTGTTCCCTCCCACCTAGGAGCCCCCTCTGGGAACAGGTGTGTGCTCATCGTCTTCTACCTTCACCTGGTAGGCCAGCTTAGGTTCTGCTGTCCTAGCTCTGCAAGGCACTTCATTTCCTTTCCCTTGGAGCACTGATCTCTGTGTATAATTGCACATTTTATTTTATTTTTGTTGTTACTTAGTTTTGTTTTTGAGACAGGCTGGACTCAAACTTGATATGCTGAGAATGACTTTGAACTCCTAGTTCTCCCACCTCTGCCTCTCAAGTGCTGGGATTACAGGTGTGTGATGCCATATCCAGTTTATGCAGTTCTAGGGGTGGGACCCAGGGCCTTGCACATGCTAGGCAAGCCTGTGCTCTACCACTTAGCTACATATCCAGCTCTAATCACACATTTGAAAGTGCAGATTCTCACTAGCCAAATATGAAGTTCTTGAAAGCAAGAGCCAGGTTTTAGTTCAGGATGGTTTCCCTAGACTAGCACAAGACTTGGCACATACCAAACATATTTAATGAACACCTGCCCATAGGAGTACCACATCTGTTTGTGAAGGACACTGAGCTCTGGGACTCTTGTACACCTGGAAGTGTGAACTGCAGGGAGGTATCTTTCTCTTTGCTCTCTCCCCTCTTCCCAGAAGCTCTCACAACACCCCTATCAAGCGAGACAGGTACTTGGAAGCCTGGATACATGAGTATCATGCAGTATAGAGCACCAGAACAGGGAGGTGCAAGAGCAAAATTTGACAAATCCTGGGTTGGAGAGGTAGCTCAGTTGGCACAGTGTTTACCTAGCATGCATGAATCCTGGGTTCAGTCCCCAACACCATATCAAAACAAGCATAGTTCAGCAGGTATTGGTGCCTGCCACCAAGTTTGATCCTTGATCCCTGAGTCCCATGTGGTTGAAGGAGAGAACTGATTCTCACAAGTTGTCCTCTGACCACACACATGCTGTGGCATGAACATGTGTGCATGTATACACGTGTACATACACACAAATAAAAATGTAAAAAAGGCATAGAGGTACATAGCTGCAATCTTAGCACTTAGGAGGCAGAGGCAAGAGGATCAGAAGTTCATGGTCATCCCAGCTCTGCCAGGATTAGAGGCCATGAACAAGTAACCTAAGGCATACTTTCTTTCCCCCCCTTAAGATGGGAATAATAATACCTCTTGAGTAAGATCATTTGGAAAAGTAAATAAAACAACAAAAGCAAAGTGCTTCAGAAAGTGTTTTGGGCATAGTGAAGCATCATAAATATTTTCTGAATAATGAATGAAAGATATTTTTAAATAAGTTTGGAAACCTCTTTTCTGGAAATGTTCCCTCTTCTGCATAAATATTAGGTTTGGATCCATGCAAAATAAGTTATGCCAATTAATCAATTTACTCATTCCATCATACACACTTGGAAGGAAGATTTTCTGAAATTAAAATGCACATATGCAAAACAACCTGGCAGGGCCCCCGGGAGGATCAAATGTGATAATGGAGGAGGAGGTGCTGTGTAAACTGTGAAGCCCGGTACAAATGCTAGCTGTCCTCATTACTAACTTGTTTACAGCTTGGTTGGCCCTGAAATCTCTGGCTTAACCTGAAAGAGAAAAATGGGCAACTTTCCAGAATTCCAGGGCTAGGCCAAGGAGTTCCCAGATGGAGCAGTCTGAGCTGGGCAGTACAGAGTTAGCCTCCTCCAGGCCTCTCCAGTGTCCACTGTCACAAGCAAATTTCCAATAGAGTCAGCTAAACTGCAGTGAGCCAGGAACTCTGTATGAGTGTGCAAGGTATCTCTTGTCCCCATGGGCCCAGGCCAGATGTTACATACAGTGGTCCCCAAAAGCTGCAGGTCATGAACAAGAGTAAAGTCAGCTAGCAGTGGAGGAAAACTGAGGTGCACAACCAGCCTAGAAACAAGGGGGCACCCAATATACCAGTCTAACATTCCTTGGCATTATGCAAACCCACTTTAGCCTGCTGCCATAGCCAACATTTTTTTCTCCATAAAAAGCTGAAACTCCAGATTTTCATGTGAAATTTCTTAATTTTTAAAATCTGGCAACTAGTTTTCTTTCTTTTTTTCTTTTTTTGGTCTTTTTGAGACAGGGTCTCCCTGTAGCCCCAGCTGTTCTGGAACTATATAGACCAGGCTGGCCTTGAACTCACAGAGATCCGCCTGCCTCTGCCTCCCAAGTGCTGGGATTAAAGGTGTGCGCCACCACGCCTGGCTGTTTTCTTATTTTTTATTTTTAGTTTTTTGTTTTGTTTTGTTTTTTGAGATGGGGTCTCGTTGTAGTCCCAGCTGACCAGGCTGACTTTGAACTCACAGAGATCTGCCTGCCTTTGCCTCCTCAATGCTGGGATTAAAGTCCTCCACCACCACACCTGGCAATTTTATTAATTTTACCATTTATTTATTTAATTTATTTATTTATTTGCTTGTTTGTTTATTTATTATTTATATATGAGTGTTGTGCCTGCATGTATGTAAGTGCACCCATGTCCTGCAATGCCCTCGGAGGACAGAAAGGGGTGGTGAATCCCCTGGAACAGAAGTTAGCCACTATGTGGCTGCTGGGATTTGAACCCAGGTCTTCTTCAAGAGCAGCCAGTGCTCTTAACCAAGCTGAGTCAACTCTCCAGACCTGATTTTATTAGTTTAATTTTTATTTATTTATTTATTTTTTGTCTTTTTGAGACAGGGTCTCCCTGTAGCCCCAGCTGTCCTGGAACTCACTGTGTAGACCAGGCTGGCCTTGGACTCACAGAGATCCACTTGCCTTTGCCTCTTGAGTGCTGGGATTAAAGGCATGCGCCACCACACCTAGCTTTAATTAAATTTTTTTTTTAATTTCTATTTTATCTGTATAACTGTTTTGCTTGCATGTATGTTAAGTGCACCATGTGTGTGATATGCCTGTGGAGGCCAGAAGAGGGCATCAGATCCTCCTCTAACTAGAATTACAGACTGATGTTAGCCTCCATATGGGTGCTGGGAACCAAATTCGGGTCCTCTGCAAGAGCAGCCAGTGCTCTTAACCTCTCAGCCCCACAATACCTAGTTTTTAAAAAAATGTTTAGAGCACTAGGTGCACCAAGTAAAACACGAAGGCTGTATTCATCCAGTGGCTTCCAGGCCATTGACTTGGCAAGCAGATAGCCAGCTCCTACCCCAGATCATCCTCTGGGACCTGCCACAGACACAAATCTGTGACCCTTGGGAATTCAGAGGGTCCAGAGAGGCTTCCCTCTAGCTGGGACTCACCTTCCTCTGCAGAGGCTCCTCGGCCCTCCTTGGGTACACAGCAGCCATTCTCCACAGCTCTGGAGGACTCTGGTGGGGTCTCAGCTGCACCCTCTCCCTCAGCTGGGGCCCCACCTTTTTGCCCTGCAGCAGGACTCCCCTCCTCAGGCTGGGGCTCACTCCGCTTCTCCAAGTCTCCATTGGGTAACAGCTCTGAAGAGCCTGAGTCCTGGGCCATGGGTGGGGACTTGGAGGTCACAGCAGGGTCCTTGGGTGTGTCGCTGCTTTCCACCTGGAAAGATGAAAAAAAGATAAAAGGGAGGATTAGACCAATGGTCTTTGACTCCTTTGAGTCACAAACCCTCTGAAGTTCTGGTGAAAGTTACACAAACAAAGAGTTTGTGTACAACATTAGAGGTTCATGGGTCTGATCCTTGAAGTTAAAGGTCTTTGGACATCAACATAAGACAGAGTAGGAAGCCAAGCAGGTGGGTCATTCCAGTTTCACTGAACCTTGGGTATCCCACTGCACCCTGACTCACTAATGGTCTTCTGGCCTCTCTCCTTTAAACAAACTGTCCTGGGACTGAGACTATAGCTCAGCTGGTAGAGTGTTTCCCTGGTATGCATGAAGCCCTGGGTTCGATTCCCAGTACTGCATCTACTGGGTATGGTGGTGCACACCTGTAATCTTAGCACTCAGGAGGTGAAGGCAGGAGGATCAGAAGTTAAAGGTCATCTTCAGCTACATATTGAGTTCCAGACCAGCCAGGGCTATATAAGAACTTGCCTCAAAAAAAAAAAAAAAAAAAAAAAAAACAAGGCCAGCAAGATGGCTCAGCATGTATAAGTGCTTGCTGTGTAAACCTGTTGATTCAAGTTCAATCCCCAGAACCCATGTAAATATAGATGAAGAGAACCCCTCACAAAGTTGTCCTCTAACCTCCACATATTTGTGTGGGTGCCCAGCTATAATACAATAATAATAAATACATTTTTAAAACCCTAAAACAAAACAAAAATGTTCCTTAAGTTTCCATCACTAAAGTAGGCACCCTTCCTCAGAAAATTCCAGTGCCACCAGATCAATTCTGGAGCCCCCCAGGCTGATTAGAACTCTCAAAGCCTTCCTCCTAGTCTTTCAAGAAATGGAGTTCTGGGGAGGGGGGGTGGGGGTTAAAGAAATTCCCCCAAAGAAGCAGTCTTCTGGCCTGAGCCACTCTGCCCCTTGGTTCAGGCCTCCACAGGTTCTCAGACCCAGTCTGACAGCAACCTGCAGCCTCTGCAGCAACCATTCCTACATGCCTGCCTGGAACAGCAATATGTTGCTTCATCCCCTGGGGCCAAGGATTGAGCCTACTAAGGGCTCCAGCTAGCAGAAATCAAATAAAGAATCTCCGTGGCTATCACATGAATCACCACGTCACCACACTGTGGGCTGAGCTCTTTCTTGCCCACTGCCCCTTCAGGATCTTTCAGACTGGGAAGCAAGGGAGGAACCCAAAGCTCTTGAAGAAATTTGTGGTTTGCCCCGTCGTCTGCTTTGTAAGGACAGAGCAAGTGCCAGAGAGCTTGTGCCCTCTGTTGTCTGTGCCTGGACCTTCCATTCTTGGCCACCTGGAAGTAAGTGGTCAGAACATCTTGGGAAGTCTAGAGATGCTTGGTCAGGGTCCCTGAATTAGAGATGTGCACATCAGAGATGTGCCTATGAATTTGAGATCAATACGGGATGCAAGAGACCCTGTTTCAAAAAACCAAAGCAAACAATAACCAAAAAAAGGTGCCTCACTTTCCTCAACTGTAAGGTGAGGTGATAAGGCTCAATCTATGGAACTTTTTCTAAATCTTTTATTGCTGTTTGTTTCATATAACCCAGACTGACTTCAAAGTCTGTCTGTCTGTCTCTCTCTCTCTCTCTCTCTCTCTCACACACACACACACACACACACACACATACACAAATAAATAAATGCAATTTAAACATTTGTAAAGAAAAAGGTTGATTAGCAGCTTGACATATAATCCTTTTGAGACATTTTGTTTTGTTTAAGACAAGATCTTATGTAGCCTAGGCTGCCTCAAACAAGCCATATAGCTAAGGCTGGCTCCTCTACCTCCCAAAGTGCTGGGAGTCTATGCATGTTGCATAGTGCCAGGCTTCCTTTTGCGACTTCTAACAATCACATGTAAATTATGTACTTATCCACATACACTAGATCCAGGATCCTGTTTTTATCATGCTATTCAGAACATTCTGCAACTTGCTTTTCCCCTAACACGGGCCTCTCTCCACATCTGCTCCATGACTCACGCAAACAATGGGCACTGGGGCCAGTCTGCTTCCGACTGCACTACGCACCCTGGCACTCCCAGTTCCCTAGAGCTAAGTGTATCTATCGGACAGTCTCAGGGTGGATTGGCTGGGTTGTCTAAGGGTAGAAAGAAATGCCAACCTACTGCAAAAAAGGTTGTAGTACCAGCACACAGCCTGAGGGGAGCTAGCTCCCAGCCCCTCCCTTCACAGACTCATTTCCATGTCTAGAATTGGAACCCTGAGACCCTGCTGCCGGGTGAGGAACCCTCAGTAGTGGCAAATAGAGAGCAGGACCTTGGGGACAAACAACAAACCTAGTGTCTCCTGGCCATGCTTCCCTCCTGGGAGTCCAGCAACTTGCCTTGTTGCTTTCCCAGTCTATGCTAGCCTCTGGGAGAAGAGCTCTGAGGAAGCTATACTGCTGTATGCCTCAGCAGTTGGGGGGAGGGGGTCCCAGGGGACGGCAGCAAGAAGATGAAGTACCTGGTGGAAGGGAGAGGGTCTCCAAGGGATTCTCCAGGCCCAGGCAAGCAAAGCAAACAGACTTCTGTCTACTACCTTTAACCCCCATGCTGTATGTCTGACCTACCCCAGGACCTAGACTGCCCTTCCCTTCCCTGTCACCCTGCAAGGCTGGGTCATGTGTAAGAGAAGGCCATGCACCACTGCACTGGTAGACACTATCCAGGGACCAGCAGTACCAGGCATGACAAGACAAACATAGTACTACAAGGAGGTGGGCATGGGTCATATTTGGACAGAATCAATCTCTCATGGTTGCTATGTACTCCTTTAGCCACCTGCTGCCCCACAGAGCTGCTTGAGATCATCACACAGTTGTTTACTTCCTGCCTGGAGACCACATGGTATCTTCACCCAAGGACTCACTTCCTGTTGACTGACAGTTCCAAGCTCAGGGATCCAGGAGTCTTAACTTTGAGACCCAGTCTATCCCAGGGGCCTGGTTAGGCCATATAGTCATTCAAGTACATTGAATACCAGCCCTACAAGGAGGACACCCTCTGCAGCAGCAGTAGGAGCAAGCATGCTGGGTGGATGAAAGGGATGGGGGCCCTCTGCACAGCCATAGGCACAGGAGCATCTCCTTACCATTGGTTCGTACCATCTTCTCTCCCCTCCTTCTCTCTTTCTTTTCTTTTTTTCAGCACCTGGAATTGAATGAACCCAGGCCTTCCTTGCATATGCTAGGCAAACACTAACTAGGCTATGTCTCCAACCCCCACAAAGCTCTCTTCCCAACCATCCCCACCCTCCACTGCCTGCCTCTCTTGTTCCTGTTTTGTTTTGCTTTTTGAGGCAGAATCTTACCTAGCCCAGGCTACCCTTGAATTCTGATTCTTCTACCTCCACCTCCTGAGTGCTGGGATTACAAGTATATACCACCACATCTGGTTTACACAACGCTGGGGATGGAACCTGGTGAGGGCTTTGCGAATACTAGGTAAGTACTCTACCCACAGAGCTACATCCCCAGCCCTCTGCTTCTTTTTCTTTCTTTTCTTGAGACAGGACTTTCTGATTCTGATGATCAAGAATCAACTACTGATCTGAGATTAGGGTAAACAGATGACCCCTACTCTGGCCAGCTCCTGCCTCCCCTTACCATCTAGAACCCCCTGAGCTAAGTGTGTCCCCTCCCTAGGGCTCTCAGACTCTGGATAAGTGAGCACAGCACATCCACCTGTAGGAAACTACACAGAGGAAGGAAACAGTTCTGCTGATAAAGGGCTAGAAGCACTTTCTAGTCTCTGAGGAGGAGCTGGGGGCTCACTAAAAGGGGCATTTTGGAGTGGCCAAGTCTGCATATCTATCTCACAGCCTCCCCCTCTTCGCCTCTTCTTATACCTAATCAGCTCTTGGAGCATAGGAACTTCGCTTGAGTCAGCTGGATGTAGCATAGAGCAGGATGCCCATCAACCCTCAATAAATATTCCCAATCACTTCATTATGCAAAGATTAGGTTAAAAGTGCAACCACCTAGCCAGGCATGGTGGCACATACCTTTAGTCCCAACACTTAGGAGGCAGAGGCAGGGGGACCTCTGAGTTCGAGGCCAGCCTGGTCTACATAGTGAGTTCCAGACCAGCTAGGGCTACAGGGAGACCCTGTCTCAAAAGGCAAAAAAAACCAAAACAAAACTGTATACACTTTGTTTATGAGTTAGCCTGGTCTACATAGTGAGTTCCAGACCAGCTAGGGCTACAGGGAGACCCTTTTGAGACCAGTGTGAGCTTTGGCCCTGTTTCTCTGTCAGAAGGAAGTATCATAGCAGCTGCTTTGGTTTTGATAGTGCCTTGTAAGGAGACTGCACACCACTGAGACATGCAATCCACTGGTCATCTCAGAAGGCACTGACAGCAGCTGCAGGTGACAGATTCAGAGGGAACAGGGGCAGTAGCACCCCCCCTCCTCTCTTCCTTTGGGGCTAGGTGGTGGCCTCTGGAGGTGTGTGTATTACCACACCTAGCTACCACA